TTCTTCTATAACTTGATTTCATAAAATTTTCAATATTATTGAGTATAAAAAAAATTTTTTGAAATTTTCGCGGGAAATTTTTATGAATTTAAAAAGAAGAAGAATTTACGATAGTATAATAATTCCCGGGGGGAGGATCTGGTGATTTAGTGGGCAGAGTGGGGGAGGATGAACTCCATTATCCAAAATCAAAATAATTATCATCTATATAACTAAATATATTAATCTCTTTTAGGAAAATTCATGAAATCTGATAAGACTATTATTATTAGAACCATTATATTTTGTTAAAAACTTTTTCTATAATTATGCCAATTTTATATTTTATAAGCTTAAATTGCATTAAATATAATCAATTTGAATATAGGTTTTGCATACTACAATGTGAGTTAAGAATACAGTTTTGACAATTAAAATTCTTAATAATTTTTAATCGCCATCCCTCCCCCTCCCCCGCTTTTGTTCTATTAAATAGTTCTGTGAGATTAACAATCCCCTTTTTCCTTTCCTCTCCTATTTATCAATCTATCTCGCTTTCTCAGTAGAATTTCATATTACTTTTTTTTTTTTGTTTTAATTCCAAAGAGATTTCAATTTTGCAGTTCATATAATATCGATATTAAAATAAATTTATATACAAAATAAAAAAAAAAAAAAACAAAAAAAAAAATTGTGTTTAATGAAAAAAAGGAAAACAAAAAAAAAAATTTCATTTTAATAAATAAAATTTTCTTTTTTATCCGGAATATGAAAGTAATAAATAAAATTATTAATAAAAAGGAGAAAATTTTCCGGATAATTGGGTAAGAGAAAATTATGCTTAAAAAAATATAAATATATTAAACCCATAAACACACACACACACACAATAATAATGAATTTATATACAAGTATATATATATTTTGTTGTACTATATATACAAAATTTATAATAAATATAGTAGTTTTGTACTACTAGAGGGTCTGGTGATAAGAAGAGATTAATTTATTTTAGATATTCCAAAGCTGCTATAATTCTTCCTTAAAAAGAATCCTCTTTACTTATCAATTTAATTCTTCCTTAAAAAGAATCCTCTTTACTTATCAATAATTTAATATTGAAGTTTTGAAATAAAAAGTATAATTGTCTAGAAAAGAGAGAAATTACAGTTTTTTTTTTCTAGAAATTATTGTTGAAGGGCATTGAATCCTCCCATATTTGACAAATAGTTCCATAACAAAAATTTTACCCATTTTTGGTGCCCTAAACAGTGAAATATGTTAAGGCTGCTATTGAATCACCCTCTAAATATGATGCCGAAATATTAATAGAAAGAATAATGGAATTAATGGGGTCAGATTGGATAAAATTCGCGCGAAAATTATGGATAAAAGATTTAGAATTTATAACACTCTCTTTCTTATTATAAAAAAACCCCCTATATAACATTAAATTCTTGTTGTTCTCCTAAAATCTACTTTTAATATTTGATTCTTGTAATTTATATATATATATATAATAATTTAGAAAATCTCTTATTTGTATGAAACGTTACTGATTTACCACATATTCTTATTGCAGTTTAAACCAGGCCTGTCAAACACACGCCACCTCTTGATCCTGCGACGCGTTACGATTTTTGAAAATTATGAAATTTAATTCTTATAATTTTGTTACAAATATTGATTTAGATCAGTAAGGAAATGTTGAAACCAAGAGTGAGGGTTATGTGAAGGTTTGTTTCAAGTATTATAACCTTATGCAAATAAATAAACGTTATGCATATGCGAAAAATACTCAGTTTCGAGAAGTGGAACTGTTTTATAAATCAAATACTGAACTAATTAATTTTCTTATATTTGTAAACAGTAGACCATTTAATTAAATTCGAAATTTTCCGAATATTCTCGAATTAGAATAAATTATTAAAAACTGAATTTGAAAGAAGATTTCCAAATTTTAATGAGTTAAACCTATTTATTTTTCCATTTTCTGCTGATATTGAAAAACTTGATAAAAATTAACAATTGAAATCGAAATGATGTGCGATTCTATATTAAAACAAAAATTTAGAAAAGTGGAAATTACTAAATTTTTTTTATTTATTTACCTATAAGTCAAATAAGAGTGTTTTTGCCATGTTTGGAAGCACATATTTTTGTGAACAATTGTTTTCAATATTAAAAAGTAATAAAGCTGCTGACAGATCATGATTAAGAGATTAACATGTTCAATTAATATCAAAAATTGCAACTGCCATCTAAATTCAATCAAATTTTGAAGATTTAGTTTTAGATTTAAAAAAAAATTATTTTATACTTTTTTGTATGACTGTAATTATTTTTTATATCACTTTTTGAGTTTTTTTTATTGTGCAGCCCGATGTGCAGATACCCTAAAATGGTCCGTGATGATAAATGAGTTTAACATGCCTGCTTTAAACCATTTAATTTCATATATAATTAATGTTGCTCTAGGTAACATTAGATGCCCTCTGTTTATTATAATATTGATATTGTTTTACCCAAATTGATTGATCTATTAAATTTGGTAATTTAATTTTGGACATATTAAAATAGTCTGCAAAATTATTTGTATAATTCGAAAATTTGATTTTTTCGAATAGACCAACGACCTCACTTCTAAATTGCATAGTTACAGTAGCTTTTAAACTTAATATTAAATTACTCGTATAAATGTAAAATATGAGTTTGAAATGTATAAATGCCGATGTTTTTGATTTAATTAGTAATTTTTTTGAATTTGTTTTGAAAACCACCGAACGTACACAAAAAATGCTTTAATTTTAGTTGTTTTTAGTTTTGGGCTTTTTTATTTTTATTAATAATTTTCAACATATTTTTTTTCAAATTAATTCAAATTAATTCAAATTTCTTTAATAATCCGAAATACAAAAAATTACAAAAAAAAAACACCAAATAAAAAAATTAAATTAAAAATTAAAAAAAATTATTTTTTATAGTTGAAATTTTCAAGTTTTCAAATACATATACTTATATCTAACAAACAAACAAACACACACTTATATTAAATTGTTAAACGAAATGTAAAATAAATGTTATTAAAAAAAATTTATATGAAAACATATAAGAATAAAAAAATGCAACAATAGAACAAACACAATATACAAAAATAAATATTTTGGTAAAATTGGTAAAAAAAAATTATAGAAGAAGACACGTAAAAACAAAAATACCAAAATCCAAAAACAAAATATGACACTTGATTGCGATGAAGAAAATGTAATTATACAATTTTTATTATTATTTATTTATTAAAATATAAAATACCATATATAATTTCTTTGAGTGTATATTTACCACATGTAAAAATCTTTGAGTGTGAATATTAATCATAAATAATTTAACAAATAAGTAGTAATTATGAAAGTTCGTTTAGAGCAGAGGTTCCCAAACTTATTTCTCTCGTAGACTCCATGTCGTGTTTTTTAAATTTTTGATAGACCCTCTGCTAATTTCTTTGATAGATTTAAATTTCTAATAGTAGCAAGGTACATCTATGATGTGAAGAAAGTTAAATAAATTCATATTTTTTTTTAGACCCCTGGCAGGTCTTCATAGACCCCTGGTGGTATATATAGACCAATTTGGATATCACTGGTTTAGAGATTGTGAGATTTCGGTAATATTTCTGTTGAACTTCCTCCCCCGGAATTAATTTGAAGAGGCGCTTGTCTTTTATTTTTGGTGCGTTCATTAAATAGATTTGTTCTAATTCATAAAATACCTTTGATTAGTAATTTATACTTACATTTATTTGTTGATTACAAAAATGTGTATTCTATGTTATCTGGTTGATTGATCGGGGAGTTTTCAGCTAATTCAATCTTAGATTGACCATAGTAGGATTTAGTTATTATTTCATAACATTTTTAATCTTTTAACTTACAAGGTGAAATATTTTTTTAACATATTCATCGAGATAAGTAATTACAACATCTCTCTTTCAATTTAAAAGAGAGTAAAATAAATATTTTATGAATAATAACAAAATTAACAATGAGTACGATTGAGCATAAAACAGTGTGAAATTACAGATAATATGAAAATGTGAGAGAGCCAATATAAGAGAGTTATTACAATAGAAGAAGTACGAAAATTTTTTTAGCACCTTGTTAGTAAAAGTTCATGATTATAATAAGAATCGTTATGAATACATTTAAGAATAAATCGAAAAATAATTATTATGATCGCGATTTGCCGCGGAAATGAAATTTTTTTAACTTTACACGAAGCGAATCATATAGAATTTTTTTATTAAGAAATTATGTTTGATAAAAATTTGTGATTAATATTTTGGGTTTCGATTCCTTAATATTTTAAATCCAGATTTTCTTGACGGTCTTCTTTGTTGCTTTCTTCTTGTTATACTTATATGATGCTTCCAATTTTTCTGTGACTATTCAATTATACAATGACAATTTCCCGGCCATTTTATTAAATAACTTTTAAGGGCAATCAAAATTAATTGTATATAAAAACTATATACCAACAGAATTATTATAAAAATTATTGAATAATTATTAAATATAAAAATTAAAATTATTAAATCTTCTTATACAAAGAATACATTTGTTCAATTATATTTATATTTTTATTTAAATAATTTAAAAATAATAATAGAAAAAAAAAAGTCAATAAATTGTACAAGTAAATTTGTTTTGAACACTACAAGAATTTTTACAATTAAAAAGTATTTTAGTATTTGTACAAATTTTGATTTGAAAATAAAAATTTATATAAAATTAATAAAATTTTTAAAATTAAAATTAAATTTAAATATATTAAATAAAACGATATATGTATATTTTTTTTATTTCTATTTTTTTCCATATATTTTATCTTGCAACCTATGGCATTAAAAATGAATTGTTGCATTCTTGTGACCCAACCAACCAATAAAACCATAAATCATCAAAATCAACATCAACGAAACATCATTATTATATATAACACCATCTTTGGATATTTTAAATTAGCTACAGCTATCACGATCAAGTAGTGCAGCGGCAATAAGTGAACGGACTTTAGAAGAATGTTGGTCAACCCTGCAACGTGTGAGTTGGCATCTCTTCCGTTGTGTATAGTACTCTTCCACAGCAAAACAAAAAAAAAAAATTAGAAAACAAAACCTAAACAAAATTGAAAAAAAAAAAAAAACGAAAAGACGGGGGGTGGGGAGGTACCTGACCATAATGTTTTGGGCAAAAGCCAGACACAAACAACGAACTCTTCTTTAATTCTTTCTGATTTCGCTTCCCCCGTCCCCGTTCCAGCAACCCAATCCTCCTTTTTTTATATTCAGTAATTTAAGGCGAATATTTCGTATTGCATTATTCCCATCATACTCATATAACCTTATATAAAAATCAAAACTCTTCATCCCTATCATGAATTCGGTTCATGATAGGTACCCTGAAATTTCTGACCCGGAAATTTCATGATTATTGCGAATTCATCACCCTGAAATTTCTGGATTATTGCGAATTTTATATTGTCAATTTCGAGTACCTAAAATACTCCGATCCGAATATTAATAAAAGAGTAAATCATAAATTATACACGTTTGCATATAGTAAAAATAAATGTCAATGTTGTTTATTCAAAAATAGCAACAAATAAAATATATAAATAAACATTTGATAGTAAAAATAAAAATGCTGAATTTGGCAGTCCGAAAAAATAGTTTTTCCATTCCTGATTCATAATTTCTATAATCGAATGGGATTTTTGATCATTCAAAATTCTAAACGTCATACGTAAGGTTTGTAGAAGTAGAATAAGGCTGGCCTATTTATTTCTGCAAAGCAAAATTGAAATGAAATTTTCAAGGTCATTTTTAGGTCATGAAAACAAAATATAGACGATTTATAATGCTACCTACGGTTTTAGAAATGTCATCAATTTTTTTTTTTTTTGTTAACTTTAATTTAAAATTTGATTTTTGTTTTTGTTTAATTTTGTTATAATTTATTTTTTTTTTTTATTTTGCAGTGTTATCACGAATTTTTATTTTGGTTTTGTTTTTCTTTTTGTATGATTTGTGTGAAACAAAAAACCTAGCTTGTGTTTTTGGGCAATGCAAAACAAATCAATTCAAAAATTTTCCACTACTAGGAAAGCGAAAATTCAGAATGATTACGATTGGTTCAAATTGGACATTCTATCGAGTATGTCGTATGAAAGATGACGTCTTTATGGCAAAATTTCTCCGAATTTATTTCGAGATTTCTAGAATCAATACAAAAAAAAGTTGAATATTTTTTTTTTGTATTTGAAAATCAAAAATGGAGAGAAAATTTAATTTCAATAACAAACAAATTTTGTCTTAATGGGAGTGTTCTCTGGACTGGACTCATTACAACTGCAACGGAATATTAAACTGTAATTATTTATTTTATTTTTATTTTTATATTTTGTTTTCTATTTAAATATTTATTTATTTATTTTTTGATGACATAGATAGTGTTAAATATTGACCAACTTGTTCTGAATATCCAAAAATTTTTTATATACGAAATTCAAGAATCGTGCTGGGAGAAAAAATTAATTCCACCTCTCTTATGCCTACATATTAAATTTTTTTCTGAATAAAATTAAGAAATTACCATATGATTAAGCTATCAAAATTGGAGTAGACTATAAATAGCTGGAATTGATTATAACGTAATGCATACTTGTCACGATCTTCTGTTATACGAATCTATCTTCAGATAGGTTTAAGTTTTTGTCTTCGGGAAACGATTATGATTTTATACGTGTCTATTCTTCTGCACATTTTGGCGGAGCTGTTCTAAAATTTTTAATTTTCTAAATAATATGTTTGCTTATATTTTATTATACTACTATTATATAATAACACGAATTACCTTTTCCACCATTACCACTGTATATTTAAAATAAAAAAAAAAAAGTTATAATAATTATAACACATAAAAAAAATGCACCAATACTATAATAAAATTTATATAGTCACCATTTCATATTCACTATAGTCACTATCCTCAGAACAACCAATAAATAAAACTAAACCCTTATAATATAGCTGACTGCTGTATTTGTAATTTAAATATTACACTTTCTTATATAAGAGTTTTAAAACACAAGAGAACCAAAGAGAATAAAAATAATGGAAAAAAAAACTACATTCTAAATTAATTTTTTTCAATTTCTCTTATTTTTTTCTCTCCCTAAATAAATTCGGGGGCACATTCAATATAGACAGCAGGAATATTTTTTTTTTTATTTGTTCGTTTTCCTTTGACTGAAGAAGAAGCATCCGATTGGATGACGTAACAACAGCAAAAACTACCCCTTATGTACCAAAATGAAAAAAAAAATGAGGAGGGAAAAACATAATATTTTTTTTTATTAAATTTTTTGTTTTTTATTTCAATTCACTCTTCTACCAAAAAAGAAAAGGACAAATATAAAATATGAATCGGTTTGTAGTCGCGTTAAAAATTTAGTTCTGCATTTTAACTGTAGTTTTTTTTTCTTTAATTATTGCTAATGTGTTTATGTTCTCATTGAATGACCAATTTGAATTTCTGAACTCTCTAGACTTGTTGGAACTTCATTCAATGACCAATTTGAATTTCTGAACTCTCTAGACTTGTTGGAACTTCATTCAATGACCAATTTGAATTTCTTAACTCTCTAGACTTGTTGGAACTTCATTGAATGACCAATTTGAATTTTTTAACTCTCTAGACTTGTTGGAACTTGATTCAATGAACAATTTGAATTTCTTAACTCTCTAGACTTGTTGGAACTTGATTCAATGACCAATTTGAATTTCTTAACTCTCTAGACTTGTTGGAACTTCATTGAATGACCAATTTGAATTTCTTAACTCTCTAGACTTGTTGGAACTTCATTGAATGAACAATTTGAATTTCTTAACTCTCTAGACTTGTTGGAACTCCATTCAATGAACAATTTGAATTTCTTAACTCTCTAGACTTGTTGGAACTTGATTCAATGAACAATTTCAATTTCTTAACTCTCTAGACTTGTTGGAACTCCATTCAATGAACAATTTGAATTTCTTAACTCTCTAGACTTGTTGTAACTTCATTGAATGACCAATTTAAATTTCTTAACTCTCTAGACTTGTTGGAACTTGATTCAATGAACAATTTCAATTTCTTAACTCTCTAGACTTGTTGGAACTCCATTCAATGAACAATTTGAATTTCTTAACTCTCTAGACTTGTTGTAACTTCATTGAATGACCAATTTAAATTTCTTAACTCTCTGGACTGTATATGGACTTGATGTTGTATTAAACAATTATAAATGCTAGTTATTGAGTTCAGTATAATATTACTTATATTTATTGCACATTTATTTACTCTCAAGACATATACATTCAAACGTCAGTTTTATAATATTCAAGTTCAACACTTCTTATTCGATTATATTAGTAAATATATATTGATAAAATTTCTCTAATTTATTCAACACCATAATAAGTTTTATGATGCAACATTAAAAAAAATGTGCAAGATAAAAACGAAACACAATCATAATTTTTAACACGACCTCCCAAATCCAAGGTATAATATGGCTCTACTCTTATATATTGCTATTTGTGTAATAAAAAACGAACATCCGTGTAGTCTAATATACTAATAAAAATATACTGTCTGCATATACTCTTAAGGAAATTATAATATTTTGTTAGTTAAAAGTGGACGCAGCGGCATATGTTCCCTAACTATGATTTTTCAACAATTTATATAATTGTGCCCCTCTCTTCTACACTACTACATTAACGTCGTCCTACTATTTTGAATTAATTTTCCCAATTTCCTGAAAGATTAATATTCTGTATATATATAGCTGTTTGAAATTAAAATTAAAATTAATTAATTAAGTTTTTTTTTTTTTATTAAGTACTTGTATAGTTAAAGAAAAACAAATCCTCTTATTTTTTTTTCTTTTTTTTTTTTATATGTATGTGTTTGATGGGGAAAAAAAATTTTTTATAGTTATTTATGCACAAAAGCGCTATGCAACAAATACAACAAATACCAAGAGTTAATTTAAGTAGTTCCGGTGGTTTATCTGGTTCAACTGGAAGCGGTGAAATTAAACCACATCAATGTCAACAATGTTTAAAAAGTTTTTCAAGTAATCATCAATTAGTTCAACATATAAGAGTACATACTGGTGAAAAACCATATAAATGTACATATTGTGATAGAAGATTCAAGCAATTATCTCATGTTCAACAACATACAAGATTACATACAGGTGAGTTTTTATATTTTTTATATTTGTATATATACATAAATTTATATAACAACTATAAATACGATAAAAATTTTCTAAAATACTAAAAAATTTATTTTATTATAAATAGATTGAGAATTTTGAAATTTATAATATATACAGGGTGATTTAGCAAATCGTTAGAGGAGCCAAATATGATCGGGTGAATACAGTGGTAAATAAACAAAAATTTTTGTTCGGAACATAGTGCGCATCGGAAACGTACGAGATACAAGAATTTTAAGAAAATTTGGCGATTTTTTGGAATTTTAAGAAAATTTAACTGGAAACTTAAAAAAGCAGTTTTTGAACGGCCTATCAGAGGGCTTAAACTGCCTATCAGAGAAAAGCGTGCATTATTTAGTTTTTACATGAGTCTACCCGAAAATGGCTCTTAACTTATTGCTGAATCATCCTGTATATAATATAATAGAATTTTTCTGAAATTTTAAAATTTTCATTTTTTGAATTTTCGATATTTTTAATAATATGAAAGAGTTCAGGTATTTAAAAATTGTTTCCACTATAATGGAATAGGATTTCAAATGAAAAATTATTAATGAATTCTATTGCATTTTTTTTTTTTTTTTTTGGGCAAGTTTTTAATAAAATATCAATAAAATTTACTTATCGTTAATAAATTAAATTTCAATTTTTTTTCCTTTATTTATTTTGGTTTAACTTATATAAACTAATCGAATAAATTAAAAAAAAAAAAGTCCCCGGTGAATGCTCATCATAAGGTGAAATTACATAAATAATTGATTGCTGAATTAAATATGGAAAGGAGTTAAAAAAGGATTAGAGTAATCTAATAAAAAAAAAAAACCAGAGATATTTTCCAAAGACTAGCAGTGGTGCGCGGCACCAACCAAACCGTTTTATTTAAGCGACAATTAAAAATTCAAAAGAAAAATAAACAACAAAAAAAAAATCCAAGAAAACTCATAAATTTTCATTTTTAGGGTCACATATTTCAACTCCTCGTATAATTTTCATCAGAAAATGAAAAGAAAAAAAAAATTATCAAAATATTTTTCCTCTTAATTTCTTTACTGCGCTCGTTAGCAGAACATTTTCTTTTTTTTTTTTTTTAATCATTATTATTTCGTTCTATTATCACCATAATAGAATAGATTGTGTGTAGTCCTTATAAAATATATAACACTTATACAATATTATATATATATATATATATATACAATATTCTATTAAAAAACGTTTTCAAATTAAAAACGTTTAAAATTTGTACTTAGAGTTATCCAATTTTTTTTTTCTATATCCTTGCATTTTGTTCATGCTATCCTATATATAAAAATCATCTTAATCACAAAACCATTACTATTACTATTATTAAAATACGAAGTAGGAAAAGAAAGAAAAAACCAAGACGTGCCAAATGCATAAAGTGTTACCACCTTAAATAAATATTGGTCAACAATTGAAGAGGTAAGTGGACAAAGGGATTAACTAACATTTTGACGAAAATTGAGCTTTTCGGATATAACATCAATTAATTTCATATATTTTCAATTGTGATTACTCTTATAGTTAGAAATTTAATCGAAGATGAGATTGACAGCGAACATAGGAGATAAGTAACAAAAAAAAATTAATAGTTTTATAATTTGTTAATGAAAAAAATGTGTCACAATGCAAATCTAAGTTAACCCCTTTGTCCACTTACCTCTTCAATTGAGAAAACACTTCAATTATTTGAAATATTCAAATTAAATACATACAATCTTCTAAACTTAATCAATATTTTTCATGAGGTGAGGACGTGAAATATAAAATAATTCTCTATAATTAATGAGAAATTTTCGTATTGATAATGACTTAAGAATTAGATTTATGAAAATGTATATAAAATGTACATATATCTGAAACCAGTATATGCAAATTGCATTATTATGTAGTAAGCATAACCATGTAGTGACCAAAAACTTATTTTACTTTTACTTTTATTGCACAGGATGATAATAATTTGAGATTTCTTGAAGTTATCATACGTATGAACTTCCGTGAAGATCATCAATTTGAATGCAATTTAAAATGTGCTCGTTTACACACATGCATACACACTAGAATCACGTAAAACTTATTAAAGCAATATTAAAGAAAAATTTCAAAAATTTAAGAAATATTTCCTTGAGATGTCATCGCATTTGACAAGTTTTTTTTTTATGGGGTTTGCCTTTAATTTGGTATTCATTTTTTAATGGTTTTTGCCTTGATTAGTCTCGTCTGCTTACATTGCAAGCATTTTAAGATTATATATTCCATTCTGCAATATTTATATATTTGATTTTAACAATATTTTATAATTTTCTGGGGCGCAGTGTACTCTACAACAAATGCCGTTTCTTTTAAGTCTCTAGAAATTCAAATAAACTAAAACACATGACAAACGACAACACTCTTTAAAATAATGTAGGCGTATATGTGTACATATATATATAAGTAGCTAGTAGGTATACAGATTAATTAACTTGCTATTTTGCTGCCGTGAATCTGTTCTAAAAAAATTTGCTTTTAATTTTATTTTATTTTTTTTTCTTTTCATTGAATATCTCTTCTGTTAATGAACGAACGCAGGACTCTAAGAGTATAAAAAGTTATTTGTATTGTAAGTGATGATAGCGCGTACTATAGTATTATACAATGTTTGTATGTGTGTATGTCTGTTGTAACATAAAAGAAGAAAAAAAAAGAGAAATTCCTTATGTTTTTTTTTTTTTAAATTAGTTGCATTTTTATTAAATTAAAAGATTTAATGTTGAATTTTTTGGTTTCATTTTAAAAAGGACTCGGTAATTTTTAACATTCCAAATTGATTTCTCTTTTTTTTTTTTTTTTTGTTTTCTCTCACGTTATATAGAAAACTTTTTATGTAAATTGTTCAATATGTACGTATCTAGTCGTTTTTTTAGAGTAAGTGGTGTTTTAATAAAAAAAAAATGCTATTTTAATTAAAATGAGCACATAGTATGTATTCGAGATTTCGCCGAGATTTTAACACATTCCAAATCTGTATAATGATCAAAAAAAATATTTAATTCAATCTATTTAACCAGATATTTGACAAATTTAAATTTAGAATTAAACCCATTTAAGATTTCTTGACCAGATTTTCTTGGCCTCTTTTTTTATTTTGTTTCCAACTATTTTTTTTATACGTGCCCTGCCTTGCTTTGTCTGCCTATCTATCACCCTTATGTTATTTTGCATATTAATCCCGGTTTATTTTTAATTCGAACTTTTTCTATTCAAATATATCGTAAATGCATATTAGATATGACCTTTTTGTAACGGTGTTGTACTACGTCAATCATATTTTTTTTTTTCGGTTATATCGTTTTGATAAATCACTCGACTATATATGAATGCGGACAACGGAATCATCTGCATTTTTGTAAATAAATTGTGGTCTGCTTTTAGCAATTTTGGAAAAAACAATTGAAATAAAAATGCTTATTATTTTCATTTTGTTCGTTCGTCCATCCGTCCGTGCAATACTGTTTACAATTCTACACCTATATAAAGATATAAAGCTGGAATTTCATTTACAAATAGATCTATACCAGAAACTTATTTGCGTTAAGGTAATTTTTTACCTATCCCCCCTCTAAAAGTTATAACCCTTCCAAAGACCTTAAAATGCCAATTTTTGACAATTTATTTTAAAGTACCCATAAACGTTTTTCAAAATGCTATAAATGCAGAAAGGTAGTGGCTAGTTTTTTCTAACGCGGAATAGCATAATTAAATATTAAAAATATGAAATGGCTGCTAAAATCAACCGTTATCTGAAACTGGTTTTCAAATTTTTGTTATCGTTTTTCTTTTAGACATATAAGTTATAGGAATCTGAAATTTAGATATTAATAAATAGTTTTTTTCGTTTGAAGAAATTTTGTTTTTCATCTCCACCCCGTACTTCACCTGACCAATGGGGCAGTGGTTATTGTACTGATCCTTTAACTGGAGGATCTCGGGTTCAAAGTTCAATCAGGTCACTATAAAAATTATATTGAATATTATGTACCTTTATATACATTAAATTAAAAATAAAAAGTTAATATTAACTAATTGCCATATTTCAATAATATTCAATATAAAAGAATACCAGCAAATTAAAACAGTATCAATAACCTTAAATATTTAATATAAAAATTACGGTAGGCTCGTCATCTACCCTAGTAAACTCAATGACGTAAAAAACTAGTTCATGGTTATCTACAATATCGTGCATTAGCCCTATGATCCCTCAAGGCGGGAATTTAGAACAAAAAAAAAACCTCTCCGTCAAATTCTTGCCTTTCGAAATTTGAATTGTAAAATCTGAATTTCCAGCCTTTCCGAAACTGAAAGCTTTTCAAATTTCTATAATACAAAAAGCTAACAGTAAAGTGAGTAAATACTATCTCATTAAAAAATATTTTTCTTAACTGACTAAAAAAATTTTAATTAAATAATGTTGCTTTTAAGAGCAGCATTCTTTCGCTTGTTGAATGGAAATGTGCTACTTTACAAACCATTGGTTTGACTCATTTTTATTTTTATAATTTTATATGTCCTTTCATAATTAAATTTTTTTTGTTTTTTATTTTAGGATAGTTGCATCTTTTTCTCTGAATTCTTCTGGTACTCTAAATCTAAAAATATACAATAAAATATTTTACCGGTTTTAAATAGCACAACCGGTACATTCATACAAACTTAACATAAAAATTTGGATGTATGTGTGTGTGTATGTAATCTAATAAAAAAAGATTCATTATTTTTATTTTCATAACTGTATTTTTTTTTTTAATATTTTTAACCCTTTCTCGTCATTCATGTTTTGTTTTTTTTTTTATTGTAAATTAAAAACTTGTTTAATTGTTGTTGCAATTTTTTTCAAATGTTTTTTTTTCTTACCTCTTCAAAATGTTTTCATAAAAAGGTTGGTTGGTTTTTTTGTGTAGTTTTTGAATAAC